ACCTGGCCATGCCGGGCCATTTTCAATGAAAGCCTTCATGTTTAAAGAAAATGGCAAAGAAAGTTCAATCCACTTGCATAAAGTATACCGAGCAAATATATTAAAATAAAGAAACTTCACATTAAATCATTTGACTCGCACCAAAAACCTTAGAATACAATGTGAACTAAGAAGGAAAAATATATATAACAGACCTATATGAAGATTTTAAAAATTAAAAAATGCAGTTTTATCAAAAATAAAAAAAATGTAAGCTAAATATATAAAAAGACGCAAAATATGATATAAGGTAGTGCTGAAAAACTCGCCAATTAAAATAACTTTATTAATAAAACAAGAAACGACGTTTCGGGCAACATCCCTTCATCAGGTTACCAATGAAAATGAAACTGTTAATATAAGACAAAGTTCGGTTGAAAGAACAAGTAACACGTGGTTGATAAAAAAGTGAAAAACTGTATAAATACAATTAATCGTAGTAAATAAACAAATCAAACAAAATGGAAATGTATAACAAAAATACAGGCAACAATGAATGAACACATCCGTATGGGTAATATTGTTCTAGGGAAAATGTTCTTGAGCCTTCAAGATACGTGTTACTTGTTCTTTTAACCTAACTCTTATATTAACAGTTTCATTTTCACTGGTAACCTGATGAAGGGATGTTGTCCGAAACGTCGTTTCCTTATTTTATTAATAAAATTATTATAATTTGGCGAGCTTTTCCGCACTACTTTATATTCCATTAGCGAAAGTAGTGGCTTCGCCCGGTTTATTAGGTTGATTCATTCTAGATAATTATGTCAGTGTGTGTATTCTGATCCCATTTTTGCATAAAAGTGTAACCAATATACTTTTGTTGCTCCTTTACGGGATGAGGCCTGTTTTTAAAGGTAACATTCCCTCTGACTTGTCCTCCGAGTATATACATAAATAATAAAAGCAAATACTTGTTTCTGTTCTAGATCAAGATGGAAACACTATATTAGTAGTTCGAAGATCTTAAGAGTGAAAACAAAGAAGAATATGATAAGTATTAACACGTGACGAGACATAAGATTTTTTTCAACCATCCAAATAATTATAATTTTGTAAAATTAATCAAAATATTTACTGAAGTGATACTGTCAATATCCAATTACTTTATCAGATTAATAGTAAATTAAAAGAAAGTCAAAGAAAATTAAACAAACAAGATAGGAAAGAATACCACAAGTATTTGTGTTTTTACGATCTTCTCCAAGTTTATTAACTGAATCAAAGGCTATAGTAATACATCATGAACATTTTTCTTCTTTAATCGGCAACTTCAATATACACTATTAACTGTTTCCTCGTTCGTTTTCGAATCTTACAACACGCGCCGTTGCGACTCCTCTTCCCTAATTGGAATCCTAAGATATGTCATTATGGAGGGTTGTCACACTGTAAAATAACATTATTCCAGGTATCGTACTGCCCTTTGGAATTACTACTTCCATCGTCGATAATGTTCAGTCTGATGAACATGATTCCGCACAATTATCTAATCTTGAAAATTCTATAGTATCAAGCCTTTGTAAAAGATGGTGGGGTCAATCTTAAACTTTGCACTTT